CCCAGTCTCTTTCTCTCTGCTCATACTTGTAGCTCAGGACGTTGGTTCTGGGCTGCTCTTGTTCTCAGCCTTCACTCTGCCATCATGGATTCTAACCCCCTGAAACCATAAACCCAGATCAACCACTTTGTTTAACTAGTTGCTTTGGTCATACCATGAGTCTTTTGAAATCTCAAAGCCTACCTTCAATGACATACCTCCTCCAAGGCCATAACTCCTAATCTTTCTCAAACAGTTCTACCAGTTGGGGACCAACCAAGCATTCAAACATATGAGCCAATAGGGGCCATTCTCATTCAAACCACCGCAGTGATATTTGTGGAAACCTGAATATGTGTGTTCCCAGGTCACTCATATTTGACCCCAGAATAAACTCTCTCTTATGTCCTTTGAGGTGACAGTTGGATTTTTGCATCAATACTTTCCATATATTATTAGGGCATTTTTATAATAACTTATTCAGGAATTTTGTGCCTCCATTTAGGGGGATTTTTATCTTCTTTAAAAAGCACAATTTTATAATGTGAGTTAGGAGCTGTACAGGCTTGAAATTCTCCATTAAATGTGTAATCAAATTCATTAGTAAAAGCATTTGAAACATTTGGGCTTACGGATTTCTGTTTCAAAATGATTTTAGCAGTTACACAGCTATCATTATAATAATTATAGTACAGTTTGCATTATTTATTTCATCATGGGTGAATTTTTGTTGTTTAATGAAGTTAAGGTTTTGATTAACTTTGATAAATTACTGATTATATATGTATATACACACATATTTACAAAGAGGTTCAGAATGTCCCTTATTAGCTATTTTTATCATGAGCTATATAATATTCCCTACTTTATACTTGATAATAGAAACCTATCCACTTCCCCCTCTGATGTTTCTTTCCCTTTCTTACTTTTTTTTTGTTGGTTTTTTGAGACAGGTTTTCTCTGTAGTTTTGGAGCCTGTCCTGGAGCTAGCTCTTGTAGACCAGGTTGGCCTCGAACTCACAGAGATCCGCCTACCTCTGCCTCCCGAGTGCTGGGATTAAAGGCGTGCGCCACCACTGCCTGGCCCCCTTTCTTACTCTTCTGGATAAGTAGGCGTTGTAACTCACTATCTATCCTCTTACTATATATTGCAAGCCAAAGAAAAATCAACCTTCAAAATTCTGAGTAACATTTCTATTTCAAATGAATATTCATTGTTTTGGCACCAACCTAAGTGCTGAAGGCTTCACAAATCTGCCAGCAGTTAGTCGATCCTAAGAGCAGGGAATGATATCAACAAAGTCAGATACCATAAATGAGAGTCATCACAAAAAAGAATACATTATTCAAAAATTATGAGACATATCATAAACCAGGAACATGTTACTTGTGCACAGGAGCTGAAAGGGTATACCAGAACTTGCTATTGAGATGCTTCAGATAGCGGATTATTTAAATACATTTTTATTTTTAAAATTAAAATACTTTTGTTTTATTTTTATTACTATTATTATTTTTATTCATTCTTCTCTCATACATTATATCCTGATAATAATTTCCCCTCCCTCCACTCCTCTCAGTTCCCACTCCTCCTTTTTCCCCCAGATCCACTTCTTCTCCATTTCTCTTCAGAAAAGAGCTGGCCTCCCAGGGATATCGACTGAACATGTTGCAACAAGACTAGGCACAAACCCTCATATCAAGGCTGCAGGTGAGGTGACCCAGTAGGAGGAAGAGGGCCCCACAAGTAGGTAAAAGAGTCAGAGACAGCCCTCACCCCCAAGGTTAGAAGTCCCACAAGAACACCAAGCTACATCAACATAACTTATGTGCAGAGGACCTAGTTCGGACCCATAAGGCCCTGTGACTGTCAATTCAGTCTCTGTGAGCCCCTACGAGACCAGGTTAGTTGTAGGTTTTCTTGTGGAGTTGATTCCATTTCTCCTGGTGCCCTTGACCCCTCTGGCTCCTTATCTCTTTATAACACTAATATTCCATTTTCCCTTTCTTAGAAGACCCCTTCCTCTACCCAGTCCCTCTACCCAGCTAGGTACCTAACTGACCTTGAACTTCTGATTCTCCTGTTTCCAGTTCTCAAATCCTCAAATTACATATGTGTACCACAACATCTGGTACAAATTTACATTTATTGACTTATATGTTGGTTATAGGTGTGTTTCCGTTTTACAAAATATTTATAAGGTAATATTTTTTGTTTCTTTATTTGCGTTTTAAATCTTTTGAGACTTTCACACATGAGTATTGTACTTTCATTATTTCCCCTTTCGTTGCCTCCCCAAATGCATCTTATGTCCCTTCCCCTCACTCTCAAATTCATGATGTCTTCTCTAATTACCATTATCACACACATATAACATGTATATACAAACACAATCTGCTGAGTTCATTTGGTGTTGTTCATGTGTATACGTGTTCAGGGTTGACCACTTCAGACAGGATAACCTATCATGGGTCTCACCCTTGGAAAAGACTGATTTGACCTCTCTCAGCAGCCATTAACTGCCTGGAGCTCTTCTAGGGCAGTGTTCTCAACCTTCCTAATGCTGCGACCCTTTAATACAGTTCCTCATGTTGTGCTGACTCCAAGCACAAAATTATTTTCATTGCTATGTCCTAACTGTAATTTTTACCACTGCTATGAATCATAATGTAAATATTTTGGGAGATGGAGGTTTGCCAGAGGGGTTGCGACCCATAAGTTCAGAACCGCAGTTCTAGAGAGAGCCTTATGAAAATTTTCCTATTAACATTGGTATGCCAGCTAGTGTAGGTCTTCTTTAGGCATCTCGCTGAGATTTCCTGAATGTGGTTTCTCTGTCATATGTAGAAGACACTATCCTAAAGCAAAATTGTGGTATTTAAAATCTTCCTGTTTCTCCTTCTGGATGTTCCCAGAGCCTTAGGTCAAAATTCAGTGAACAGCTGACTATTGGGTGCCCATGCCCAAATGTGTTTTTGTCTTTTTATAAGAAAATAGGCATAATTTTGTTTTGTGTACTTATCTTTTGGAGGGGGGATAAAGTTTCCCCATGTAGGTAGCCCTGCTGGCTGGCCTGGAACTCATTTTGTAGACCAGGCTGGCCTCAAACTCACAGAGATTCATCTGCCTCTGCCTCCTGAGTGCTTGGATGAAAGGCATTCTTCATTATTGCCTGGCTTTATGTAATTAATTTAATGCTATATTTTATAATAAAATGCTTTAAAGGGGAAATATTGAATTTATTATAATGTATAAATATCATTTACACTTAAAATATAGTGGGGAAAAGCTTTGATTTAGTGATGAACCCTGTAAAGTTCTATGCAGAGACTGGACAAGTCTTGTCCAAAGTCAGTTATTCTGCTACAGAGAAGTGAATCTCTGTCCGTTTCTCTGCCTGTCTCTGTCTGTCTCTCTGGCTTGCTTCTTGCATTTCTGAATCCTATAAATGACAGATTATAAAGGACATCTATCCACTATTCCTCCTTTCTCCTTTAAAGTTATAAAAGCAGAACACCCTCTGTTCTCTACAAGATACCCCAAGCAACAATTTTGATAAGATTTTATGATTAATTCAGTTGACGCAGAAGAAGGCAAAAGTCTGAATCTGTCATGTTTATTTGAATAAATTGCTTTATGTGAGAACAGCCTCCTGAACTTTGACAGATTCTCCTAACCCCATTTAAAGATACCTATCCTAGGTTCACCAAATGTCCCAGCACATACCTGGGGTATTGTCCAGAAGCCCATCTTTACACGTCAACTCTGTTTTTCCTATTCATTCCCTTTATTTCACAATAAAAGAAATAAATAGATCATTACCTAAGGAAGAAGAATGAAGGGCTATCTAAAATCCTGGGAACGGCATACAGCTGTGGCAGCCCTAAATTGAACAATATCAAGGGCCCTGATATTCCCATAGTGTATGGAACACAGTTCTCAAATCACCAGGCATTCACTTGCTTTGTAACATCGTACTTTGTTGTTGGGTTGATTTAAAAACAAATTCTCCACCTAGAAAATGCAAATTGTATTGTCCCCTGCTTCCCCTCTCTGTTTGCTATGAGATAATTTACAAACAATGCCATCCGGGTTTTAGATAAAATGTCAACTTTGTCTGATGGTGAGAGTCTATTGATTAGAGCCTTAAGGCTATTTTTCCACCTCAGAGGTCGTAGTTGCTTTAACTGAGCTTACAGCCATGGCTTCTTTAATCATCACAGCTTCATTGATTCTTACTGTAAACCCAGTTCTGGTTTCAGGCTCTCCGAATGAAGGTGAAAGATCGTGGCCTGAGATTCTAGAGTATACTCTTGGAGAAGTCCCGGTGAATAGGGCAGATGCCTTAGTGCACCTGCCAGCTGCGGTCCAGGTACCAGAACGCGTCGTCTAAACACCGCCTTCTTTGGAAATTTAAAAATATCTTTAACCCCATCCTTAAAATGAAAGCCGATAGGGCACCAGTGGGACCGAAGCAGCCTCTAGATTTCAAATTAATAAGTGATCTTAAGTTGCAATCACTATCTATACATCTCTTAAATCCCCGGCTAAGCATCACTTATTCTCCCCCGCCCCCCAACCTTGGGTCGCTCATTTTGCCTCCATTTATTCAATAGGGGTTTTCGTTTTATGTGAAAATTTTAGTAGAATTTGAAGTCAGGTGTGTAGCTAAGGTTTAATCATTGGGATGTGGTCAAATCATTCTCCCAGTATGAACCAAAGTAAATAGGAAATCTCATTTTAAAAACTGTACTTATGGACTTAGCCTCTGTCTGAGAATTAAAGGGGACAAACCTACGGATGGCAGTGAGGGGTCAATTCACCACAGGCGTTGGGTCAGGGGTGGAGGAGTCGGAAGTGATTGGGATTTGGGGGAGGAGATTCGCTTACACACAGGAGCTTTGAGAGGCCATATCTGCCGCCGCCGCAGCTGTGGATGCAGCATCTGCGCTTTGCTGCCTCCGCGCCGCTGAGGTTCGCGTAGCTATCCCGTGGCCCTTGGCTGTTCCACCTTGCCACCATCGGTGGACCAGGCTCGTTCTGACCTGCCTACCTCCCTCCTTCTCCGCCTCACCCCGGCTGCTCAGACCATGGATCTCGGCAGCAGCAGCGACTCAGCTCCCGACTGCTGGGATCAGGTGGACATGGAAGCCCCGGGTTCGCCTCCGAGTGGGGATGGAATCGCCTCTGCGGCCACGACAGTGGCCGAGGCAGCGGAAGCGGAGGCCCAGCGCCAGCATCTCAGCATGGCCTTCAGCAGTCAGCTCAACATCAACGCCAAACCTTTCGTGCCTAGCGCAAGAGCCGCGGAGTTCGTGCCCAGCTTCCTGCCGCGATCGGCCCAGCTGCCCGCCCCCACAGCCTCCAGCAGCTACGAAACCTGCACCAGCGCCGCAGACCCTCAAGGTAAAAGGCTGGGATGGGGAGCACCTGTGGAACCTCCCAAAGATGGACCTTTCGTGTCGTGGGAAGGTTCCAGTTCGGTTGTAAGCATGGAACTTTCAGAACCTGTTGTAGAAAATGGAGAGGTGGAGATGGCCCTGGAAGAATCGTGGGAGCTTAAAGAACTAAGTGAAGCAAAGCCCGAGGGTTCTTTGGGAGATGCAGGGCCCCCAGAAGAAAGTGGCAAGGAAATGGTGGAGGAGAAAGAGGAAATGAGGAAGTCAAAATCTGTGGTCATACCATCAGGTGCTCCTAAGAAAGAACACGTAAATGTGGTGTTCATTGGACATGTAGATGCTGGCAAGTCAACCATTGGAGGGCAAATAATGTTTTTGACTGGAATGGTTGACCGAAGGACACTGGAGAAATACGAAAGAGAAGCTAAGGAGAAGAACAGAGAGACTTGGTATCTGTCCTGGGCCTTAGACACCAATCAGGAGGAACGAGACAAGGGTAAGACAGTGGAAGTGGGGCGTGCATATTTTGAAACAGAAAAGAAACATTTCACAATTTTAGATGCCCCTGGCCACAAGAGTTTTGTCCCGAATATGATTGGTGGTGCTTCTCAAGCTGACTTGGCTGTGCTGGTCATCTCTGCCAGGAAAGGAGAATTTGAAACTGGATTTGAGAAAGGTGGACAGACCAGAGAGCATGCGATGCTGGCAAAAACAGCAGGGGTCAAATACCTAATCGTGCTTATTAATAAGATGGATGACCCCACGGTAGACTGGAGCAGTGAGCGATATGAAGAATGCAAAGAAAAACTGGTGCCCTTTTTGAAAAAAGTTGGCTTCAGCCCTAAAAAGGACATTCACTTTATGCCCTGCTCAGGACTGACAGGAGCAAATATTAAAGAGCAGTCAGCTTTCTGCCCTTGGTACACTGGCTTACCATTTATTCCATATTTGGATAGTTTGCCAAACTTCAACAGATCGGTTGATGGGCCAATCAGGTTGCCAATTGTGGATAAGTACAAGGATATGGGCACTGTGGTCCTGGGAAAGCTGGAGTCAGGATCCATTTTTAAAGGGCAGCAGCTCGTGATGATGCCAAACAAGCACAATGTGGAAGTTCTAGGAATAGTCTCTGATGATGCTGAAACTGATTTTGTAGCCCCGGGGGAAAACATCAAAATCAGACTGAAAGGAATCGAAGAAGAGGAGATTCTTCCAGGCTTCATCCTTTGTGAACCCAGTAATCTTTGCCACTCTGGGCGCACCTTTGATGTTCAGATTGTGATTATTGAGCACAAATTCATCATCTGCCCTGGTTACAACGCTGTGCTGCACATTCACACTTGTATCGAGGAGGTCGAGATAACAGCCTTAATCTCCTTGATAGACAAGAAGTCAGGAGAAAAAAGTAAGACCCGGCCCCGCTTTGTGAAACAAGATCAAGTGTGCATTGTCCGACTAAGGACAGCAGGAACTATCTGCCTGGAGACATTTAAAGATTTTCCTCAGATGGGTCGTTTTACTCTGAGAGATGAGGGTAAGACAATCGCAATTGGCAAAGTTCTGAAACTGGTCCCAGAGAAGGACTAAGCGATTTCATTGATGCCTCTGCACCCGTAATGTGCGACAGATGGACTGCAATTTACTGCCCATTGATAGACTTTTGTCCCTGTTTTGAAGAGCAGTTTCACAGCAAAAATCCATGTTTTGTCAGCTTTCTCATGTTGAGATCTCAGTTCTGTCTCTCTTGAATGCATCCTCCAGTCCTCCCTCCACGCCACTCTGCTTCCTTGGACAGATCAGTAATAGCTTTGTAAGTGACGTGTATGTGACTGCCTACAATACTAAAAATAATATATTTTACATTTTCAATTTCCCTTCGGGATATCTAGACATCATTTGTTCTGAGCAGAACAATCAGTGTGTCACTGTGTATATGTTAATGAAGATCTCTAACATGTAAATAAAGTGTTCCATTCGAAACTGCAAGATTTGAAATGTGTTTGAATAATGCTTGAATTTATATACAATATAGTTTCATTAGTTTTTTTCCCAAGAATTGAATACATTATTACTTGGCCTTAAGAAAAATTCCACTGTTTGAAATGAGGAATTGGTCAAAACCACACAGGTTTTTTTTTTTTTTTTTTTTTTTTTTTTTTTTTTTTTTTTTTTTTTTTTTTTTTTTTTGGTTTTTCGAGACAGGGTTTCTCTGTGGCTTTGGAGCCTGTCCTGGAACTAGCTCTGTAGACCAGGCTGGTCTCGAACTCACAGAGATCCGCCTGCCTCTGCCTCCCGAGTGCTGGGATTAAAGGCGTGCGCCACCACCGCCCGGCCACACAGGTTTGTATTAAAGGAAAACTTTACTATGGAAAAAAAAACCCTTAGTGCCCTTCCCAGTTAACTGTGTTTTCATTGTCTAAGTTCAATTAGTAAAGGAGTTCTTTTCTACTTACCCAGTTATTATTTGAAAATGAAGATTATCTTTTTTTTTGGTCTTCCATTAGGTCCTATAGTGTTGAGCCCAGCCAAATCACATGTATCCCTAAGGTTTCAGACTATATATTTTGAATAGACTCTTATCCACTCCATCATCTTTAACACGCTTTGGTATCATTCACTGTGAAATTTAGGGTGCAAGACACAATAATGGAGACAACTACTGCAAAGGTCAATTATTGAATTGGGGCTATGTGTCATTAACCGAAACAAAGGACTTGACGTGGGAAATGAGGAGTCTATTCCTCGTGGCTTAGGGTTCATTAGAATCTGTTCTCCAAACAAATTCATGGTAGTTAGATTTGTTGCCAGAAGAATGACTTGCTGACCCTCAGAACGGTCAACTGCTGGAGAGCTTTCTGTCTCGTAAGTAGGTAGTGGCTTAGTGTAAAGATCTTCCCAGTGGTGTGCAGAGCCGGCTTCTTTAAGGCACAGCCCTATATTTGGAGTAAGAAACTCCCTTACTAGCCCTCATGTGCAGGCTGATGGATGTAAGCACTGTGGCTGCAGCACCCTGGGCCTATGCTCAGGCAATGCAGCGTTTTTTCCATGGTCTGTTTCTTTGTGTAAAGCCAGTGTCTCCTTCTCCGTGGTCCTTTTCTTTTTGTGCCCATGACACTCCTGTCTCAGTGTATTAGATCGTTACTGACGGTGTTAGATTGCTAACAGCAGGGCTCTATTGTGCATCATCAGAGCACCCTCTTGAGAGAAAGATTTTAGCTTGCCATGCATCAGCTAACCTGATCCACAAGGAACCCCGTGCAGCCATGAACACAGCCGTTTAATCGTAAATGTCAGTGGCTGTTTGGTTTCATCTTTTGGCATTAAGAGATCCTCCTTTTTTGTGTGTACTAAATTTTGTACAACAATCAGGCCAGTCTAGTACTTGGTAAAAATTATACCTTAGCAGTCACTCTATGGAGAATGTCCCCCTAGCCATGTTGGCCCCACTGTGTAACCTAGGCTGGCCTTGAGCTTGTGGTGATCAGCCTGCTTCAGTACCCTTAGTGTTAAAATTATAAATGTAAGCCACCACGTCCAGCTCTTGGCAGTCATTTTTTAAAAATGTAACGCTATATTACTGTCAAAGTAATTTTAGTAATTGACCAATATCTATGTATGTGTGTGTGTATTATATTTACAAATACAACACACACATTCAGACACACACACACACACACACAATCTCTCGCACATAACGTTCAGAGAAAATGTCATAATGCTTAAAAGTCTATTTTAGAAATTATTTCTTTGCAGTTCACTGAGAATCCTATCCTTCAGGAGGTTGGGGACACCAGAGTCTAACTCTTTTACAATAGTAGATGTGAACCCAGCGTTGTGACACCGGCTTGCAATGTAAACTGAGGCAAGAAGATTATGTGTTCAAGGTCAGTTCTTCAAGGTCACAACGAGTTTGAGGACAGCCTGAGCGACACAGTGACCACCTGCCACACAGAACCACCAGTAGATAAAAACATACGGTAACGTTTCTTTCAAATTTCTAGGTACTTTACAGTTGTTAGCATCTAATATTTTTCAACGTTTCAAATTAGGGCTATTTGCTAGCGCAGCATTAGTTTGCCCAGTGCGCTGAACTACTTGTCTCAATCAGGGGAGTGCCCTGCTAGGAAATTTCTGCTATCTCCAATTCATATTAAATTAACTTTATGATGGTTTAAGAAAGAATGTCCCTTATAGGCTCATGTATTTGAATACTCGGTTCTCTGTTGGCAGTGCTGTTTGGGGGAGGTTTAGGAAGTGCGGTCTTGCTGGAGGTGGTATGTCACTAGGGGTGGGCTTTGATTGTTTCTGGTCTCACCCCACCTCCAGTTGCTCTCTCTGCTTCCTGCCTGCAGTTGAGGATGTGCGTGCTCAGCTTCCTGCTCCAGCTGTCATGTCTGCTGCTTGCTGCCGTGCATCCCTGCTATGCCGATTGTTTCTCTCTCTGGAACCGTGGGCCTAAATAAACCCTTCAGTCTGTAAGTCGCTTCTGGCCATGGTGTGTTATCCCAGATTGCTGTGTAGAACACAGCCATGTTTTTTCTTAGAGGAATGCGGGAGCACTGAAACTTGGGACTGGAAAAGAGGTGGGATGCCGTAAGCAGACATTAGTGGGAGCCTTGAAGACTGTAGTGCCGAGAGTAATTCCGAAGGTAGCAGCCTGGCTCACAAGCGGTCAGAAGGGAACAGTGTGAGCATTTGGGTTAGAGCCCATTTCTGTGTTTTTGTCAAAGAAAATGGCTGCCTTCTGCCCCTTTCCTAAGAACTCACTTGAGACTAAATTTTAAAAAGTGGACTAGGAGTTCTATCCAGGAAACTTGCACGTGTTTAAACATTTCTGCCCCTCCCCCATGTTTTCCTTTACTAGGTTCCAGATCTCCCATTAAGGTATTGGATCCATTTGTGCTGATTCTGGTACAGAGCGAAGGCTTCTTGTTTCATTCGACTACATGTGAGCTGACACCATGTTTTTTTGACATCTTTTTAAGGATAAGTTGGCTATAAACACACCCAGTTATTTCTCTATTTTATTTCACTTCTCCATGTATATTTTTATATGCCAGTGCATGCTTCTAGTTATTTCTATTTTGAATATGCGATACTTCCAAGCTTTGTTCTTTTTACTCAAGATGACTTCGGCTATCCTGGGGCATAGCTCTATGGACAAGGCTGTTAGTATTTTGACAGACCTTGCCTTGAATCTATAAATTTCTTTAGCTAATATGGACATTTTAACAACAGTAATTTGCCCAGCTCATGAAAATTGGAGTAATTTCTTTGGCAGAGGCGAGTGCAGTGCTGTAGCACACTGAATCTGTGGCATGATTATTATTGATCATGCTCTTGCAGGTCTCAGATGAGAAAGAGAAAGTGGCACAAAAAGAAATACAAAATACACAGTTTGGAGAGATGAAGATTGGCTGGAAGAGGGGCTATAATTATAATCGTGGAGGAGATTAACACCACTGAGGAGAGGCCTTCTCTGCTCTTGAATAAATGGCAGGGTTCCTTCAGGCCAAGACTCAACCCAGTTAAGCTTCTGACTCGGGAAAGAGAGCCTAGAGTGGTTTCTGCTTCTAGAAAGCAACAGCAAATGAAAGCTGCTGCTGGGGTTCAGGGAAGTGTGGATCCATCCCGAGTCGGCAGCCTAATTTGGCAGTATCATTCCTGTGGTGCTGGCTTTAGGGGCATGAAAGATGCGAGAGTGAAGGGGTTGTAGATTCCTCTTTTTTTGTGTTTCCAGAGAGCCCAGGTAGTGTGTGTTAGGGGAGTCCCTGCATGAAGGCCCGGAGAGGCCATTGCATGAAGTTGCGAGAATGAAGCCTATCCCTAAGATGTGAGTGGTGTCAGAGCTGTGAGATATCTGCCCAGGAGAGCTGCGTGCATGAAGTGAAACCAGTCTCAGAGGAGATGTATGTTGGAGGCACCAAAACTGAAAGCACAGAGCCATCTAAGTCCTTTAACGTAGAACATAAGAGTTACAGGATTTAGTGTTTGCCATTCTGGGTTCCTGGCTTCCTTTGGGCCATTTTTCCTTCCTCTGCCTCCGCTCCTCCCTTTCAGGATGGTAATGCATATTCTGCGCCACTCCATATTGGAGGTATGTAATTTGCTTTTTTTTGTATTTACAGGGAGCTACGATAAAGAGACTGCCTTGAGTCTCGAAAGAGACTTTGTATGTTGAACTTTTAAGCAGTGCTGGGGCTTTTAAAGCCCGGGACATTTTGAAAGCTTGACTGGATGCAGTTTGCATTATGGTATGAGCATGAGTCTGTGGAGTCCACAGAGTAGAATGTGATTGTTTGAATACAATTTCCGCCCATAGGCTCATGTATTTGAACCTGTGGTCCACAGTTGTAGTCCTATTTAGGGATGGTCAGGAGGTGTGGCCTACCTGGAGGAAGGATGCTGCTGAGAGCAGGTTTTGAGTGAGTATAATACCACCCTTTGTCTGCAGGTTTGAGTGGGTATAATGCCACCCTTTGTCCAGTTCGCGCTCTCTCTGCTTCACTCTTGTCATTGAGGATGTGCGTCCTAGGCTTCTGGCTCCATCTGCCATGCTTGCCTCTTGCTGCTGTGCCTCTCTATCGTGATGCATGATGGACTTTTATCCCTC